ACTAAGCAGCCACAATATTGATTGGAGAGGGATTAGCTTACCTGACAGGTGAGGGCTGTCTGCTCCAGCAGAGACCAGGTAACTGGCCCTGCTGAACTGCAACGGGGCAGATTTAGGAATTTAACGTGCAGTCTAATGGCTTGGGTGGGACTTCTCCCATGGAAAGAGCTAGTGAACACAATAAAAGTTTTAATCTTTCATTAGTTCCAGGGATGTGTTAGGGAGTACAGAATAAAACTATTTCCACGAATGCTGTACTGACTTACTCTGGGCACTTCTATATACATGTCTTCTCTTTAGGACCCCTGTGGATAGTCAGGCAGTAGGAGCTATTTGCCCCTCTGGTTTGTTTTATAGCCTTTGAATTGCCTTAAGGTGCCAAGCTAAGTTATGTGGATAAGTTCATATCTTTGAGAAGTCATTGGTGGCATGTTAATTTTATTCTCTCTGAGCTCCTTGGGATTTGGCATCTCTTCCAAGACCCTGGCCTTGTAGCTGACAGTCACCTGTTGATAGACTTCCTCTGCTTTCCACGCTGCGCTTCTCTGCTGTACTCCACATGCTGGAGACCCTCACTCCCCAGACCTAGCAGACAGGTGAAGCACAGGCAGATCCGTGTCTGCGTCTGCTCCTCCCTGGCTGCTTCTGCCCCTTCATAGTAACTAGTAGCTCTTCCATGACCCTTGGGTTGTGGGTAAAACAAAATCTAGGGCTTCACCAGGTCTACATATGTGAGTGCTGAGAGACACGATAATTGCACCCAGCAGACTCAGAGCACTGAGCATGTGTAAAAACACGTACAAGCGTCTTTGTTCCATTGTCCCATGTTCTGCCTTTATCTTCCTGGGTAAGACCTGCCTATCTTTATATTTTTACCCCCATTTGCTTCCTTCCAGTCTATATAAAAATTATGACTATTCAGAAATAGATGAGTATACAACATAAGTCCTAGATAACAGATAGGAAGATGGGTCCAGGGAGATCATTAGTTAATAAAGTACTTGCCCTGAAAGCATAGGGACCTGACGATCCCAGAGCCTATGTAAAATGTTAGCATGATGGAGTATTCTTACAATGGTAGAGTCTCGAAGATAGAGACAAGTGTGTTCCTGAGGAGTGCTGGAGATATCCAGACCATCAAGACAATTTGTCTCAAAACAAAACAGCAACAACAAGAAAAAGGCAAAAGCAAAAATGCCTAAAGAACACTCACTGAAGTTTGTCTTCTGGTTTACATGTGTGCACATGTGCACACATGCTTGCATGTAGTAATGCAGACACATACAGAGACACAAAAAGATCAGATAGGAAAATGGGATTTAAGCATTTATACACACTCATTTAGCTGTGGCGCATATTGTGTAGAAAAGTTAAGTATTTAGGTGTGGGTGGTGGTTGAAATATAAAGCCTGTAGACCTTAGAATGCATGGTAAAGCTTCATGAGCCTATAACACCTGGTGATCTAATGAAAATCTGTTTGTACACATGCGAATTTTCTTCTGACAAGATAGTTGTGCCTTTAGAAAATTTTCAAATGATGCTATAGGATTCTAAATCCCTTCTCTTTGACCCTCTGTGTTTACTCTCATTCTTGTCTTTGAATCAGACAGCCAGGGATCGGAGCATGCAGTCACAAGCGTGCTAAAGTAATGCAACCTTCCAGACCTGGTAACGTGCCCTGCTGCCACAGTCGCCCATCAGAGCCTCCATTTGACTGATCATCCCTCTGCAGCCTTTCATATACCATTTTACTTAGCTATCCCAAGAGAAGGAACAGATATGAGGCAGAGCAGCAGAAAGCAAGGTCTCTAATTCCCTGAAGGGTTTAGGCCAAGAAGAGCTCATTCTGCCTAAACAAGTCTCCGGGTCTCACATTGCCAGGACCCTGCTTGCTTAGGAAGGAGTCTTGCTAATACCTGCTGCTCGGTCATCATCTTCACACAGTCCTAGCTGTTCCTCATCTAGGTCTTCAGCTCTTACTGACAGAACACAGGTTTATCCACTTGGATTTTGCCTATCTTTAAAAGCAGCTTCAAAGTCTGCCAGAGCTGAATCGAGGTGCAGCCCCAATCTTTCAGTTATACAAGTGGCTAGCACCCCTCTGTGGACTGTCTTACACTTACTCTTTCTTCCTCTACATGGTTCTCCTCTCCATCCCTGTTTACTGCCGCCTCCGCTGCTCTATCATATCTAGAACAATGCACCCATCTGTCAGCTGAGGTTCATTCTCCTCCCTGCAGCCATCTTGTTGAATGAGGTTGGGATAATCATCCTCATATTTCTTTAACTAACTTTTTACTCATTCCTTAGGGTAAATACCATTCCCAACCCATGCTTTCCATACTTAACCAGATGGCTTCTCTTCTCGTTATCTATCCTGGAATCTCCCTTTCCCACTGATCTCATAGTCCCTCTTATAAGGATTCTGCTGGCCTGCCCCGTCACTTGACAGAATGCACTCAGGCAGTCCCCTGGTCAGCCCAGGGTTCCATGGCTACATAGTCTGCACCGAGGTGCAAAGGACCCCTTTAAAAGAAAGACCCCCCACCACTTACGCTCTCTTTCCTGAAGCAGACAGGACTTTCCCTGTGTCCCTCTTCTCTTCTGTCCTCTCTCTGTCTCTGTGTCTCTTTACCTTCTTTCTCTTTCCTTCCCCCTTCCCTCTCTAATAAAAGTGCTCATGTGAGCTCTGGCTGCCTGGTGTGTGTATCACCTATCCCCACCTCGGTTGCCCTCGCCTGCCATGGAATCTGCCAAGGACCCCCATCATTTTATCAAAACACCTTTAGTGCAACTTACAGTCCAATCTCCAAGCCTGTGTTCTACCTGCCCTACTTATCCTTAAACTTCCACCCTCCAAAACACCTGGAAGTCCCTACTCTCCTCTAAAACGATTGACCGCTTCATTTTTATGTTCTCTGAAGTCATTAACATATTACTTGTATCTCCCATAATGCTTGCACATGACCTATAGTAGGTATTTACTTAAAAATCATCATTTCAAAGAGGAGTTAGAATCCATGAGTGACATATGTCTATGCCTAACAATAAAGGCAAAGTCATCACAGCACACATTATTACTAACGGCAGCAATTCTGAAGGCAATGAAACTCACTTATAATATTGTCACTACTTGTATATGTCAAGCAAGCAAAAGACATAAGCATGTTTAAGGCTAATACTTCTAAGATACAGGCAGTTTGGTATGGAACCTCAGCATAATACCATTGTTGATCAAATTACATGGTTCATGTAGTTGGTCCCTTAATTGGGTAGTTACTTGCCATAGAGTGCGCTTTTTGCTGCACTGTCCAAGGCAATGGCATAGCGAGCTGCTCTGTGCCATTGCCTTTGTGAAAGCAGAAGCGTCTGTTTTCTTGTCCCTCCCAACCTGACAGTAAATGCCAACCAGTTCGAATGGCCCCCTCCACCTGTGATTATGTCATCAGATGTCTGTGGATGCTTGCATTCCAGTTGGTCTTAAGGGAGATTTTTGCCATTGTAATTATTGTCGGTGAAGGACATCATAAACTGCTTTAGTCAGCAAAAATATGTTATCTTTACTTGCTATATGTTGAATTGCTGACTCTTAGAGTCATTTTTCACTCTTTAATTTATGGGTCAAAAAATCACTGAATATTTTTAACAGAATAGCATAAAGTTTAGATTTTTTATTATATGCAGTAGAAATGCAAATGTGTGTGACTTATTTGCAAATGTAGGCATTAATAACTGATATTTAAATAGGCTAGATTAGCAATTTTACTGATATATTTCAGAGATTTTTTCCAATAATTTGCACACTCAAAATCAATTTGAATATAACATGTAAATTGAATTTAATTTTTGATATAAAATTGTAGTTATCAGTTTGAACCATTAAATTTACTGTTTAATATATGCTTTCCAGCTCGCTTGGTTAAAATTTCATTGCTCCTTATCTATATAAATTTAATTAGGCTTGATATCATCAGTATATTATAGAACTAATTAAAGATTTAGATAAGTGCTGAGGGGGCTTATTGAAAACTCCATAAAGTTCCGTTTGGAAAATGAGATATTCCTCCTCTAGTCATTGTAAGAGAAGGAAACAGCAAGAAGTATCTCTTGTGGTATTTCTGAAAAATTATTTAACTGGATTTAATGGACTTATTCTATTCTTTGAAGAGCTTTTTAATTACTCTGTATCTTTGTGTAGTCCAACAACAGCTACAGTCTTTATTTAAAGGATTTAAACTCCTCATCCCCGTCTGTCCCTTGAGCCAGCTGTCTGTGGGCATACATGAGTATGTGAGTGTGTGTGTGAGTGTTGTGTGTGTGTGTGTGTGAGTGTGTATGTGTGAGTTTGTGAGTGTGTGTGTGAGTGTTGTGTGTGTGTGTGAGTGTGTATGTGTGAGTTTGTGAGTGTGTGTGTGCGAGTGTGTATGTGTGTGTGAGTGTTTGTGTGTGTGTGTATGTGTGTGTGTATACACTAATGGACAGAATAGTGCACCAAATTGTGGTCACAGAGTCTATGGGTATTACTGGAGAGTGTGTCAGTTTCCACAAGCAGAATGAAACAGGAAGTTTAGAGTGCATCTGCCATAAACATAGGGGAAGGAGAACAAGTAAGCACTTCAGCCCAGCCCTGGAGGGAGACGAGAAACCCTGAGCAAAGCTTGGGTGCCCACTTAGAGATGCTGCTATTCTGGGTGAATCGTTTTGTAGCAACCGCTTTTGAATTCCCTGTATCTGCATCTCTGCAATAGAGTAGAAAGCAGATTAGTTTAAAAGACTGTGATTTCCACTAAGTGCTTTGTGTCTTCATTACAAAGCACAATAAAGCTTTTTATTACAATGAAGCTGCCATTACATCCAATTGAATATACACTGAAATAAAGCTGCATCACCCACATTTCCCAGCATGTTCCGTGCTCCTGTCAAAGCATGCTCCCTCGCTCCCTCCCTCTCTCCCTCCCTCCCTCTCTGTCTCTCTCTCCCTCCCTCTCCTTCTCTCTCTCTTTCTCTCTCACCCTGTGTGTGTGTGTGTGTGTGTGTGTGTGTGTGTGTATGAATCAAATGAGTGACACAGTGCATACTAGAAAAATAAAGTAAAAGAACAAATAACAAATGGGGCCATCTGCAACCCAGCACACTGTCGTTTAGTGCAGAGGACCCAGGGGAGTCTGGGGAAGCAGATAAATTGCTGTGAGCTAGCTTGGTATAATGGAAGGTTACAGGCTTCAGGCTCAGGAGATGCACATTTAAGCCCAGCCTCGAGCTGATGAGCTGTGTGACCCAGGGCCTCATCTCTTCATCTTTCTCTGCATAAATTACATTTCCTGGAAAATGGAAATAATATTAATAATGCTGCCCCCTTTTCCTTCTCCTGCCCTCCTGTGAATTACAGTAGTTTCAGATGCCATCTCTTGTAGCCTAATCCATTTATGTCTCCAGACATGGAAACTGAGGCACACTGGGATTGAGCAGTGAGATCACAGTCGTCAGTTAGTAGTAGTGGGAGAAGGACTGGAAGAGACACATCAGGAATGACAACTGTGTGTGCACTGCCACATGGGATGTGAAGGAACAGCAGACATCCGAAGGCCATGCTGGCTGCACTTGCTGGGAGTGTCTCCCCTCCTGCGACTCTTCCCAATACATTCCCCACAGTTTTCATGCCCAACTGGTTACAAATATTCACACAACCCCAGCCCAAGAAATGTTCTGCGGAAACATTTGGGTCACAAACTAATGTTTGTTTCACCACATTTGAAACGTTCCTCTCTGAAAACATTAGAAATGAATACCAGTAAACCAGACTCCCAGATTGAAATGAAAATACACTCAGACATTCAAGGCATTCAAGATCTCCTGCTGACTCCCAGGAAACATGCAGTGTCACCCAGCATCACCTCCTGTGGCTGGGAATGTAGAGTCTTTGTTGAGAAGGAGGTGTGGAGCCAGGAAACAGAAAGCAGGCCAGAGCAGAATCTCTGAAAGGGACAGGCAGGGGTTTCTCTGTTGCTGCCTCCTTTTCCCCCACATTCCCCACCATGACTTCTTGCAATGATGGTGTGGAGCACTGGTCTGCTCATGATGGAGCCTGAGCCCATCCTGTAGTCAGCAACTTGAAGTCTAGGCAGAGTAGGTCCAATTCTAATGCTATTTCTGACCCATGGATAATTTCAAATAACTCTTCCTGCTACTAGATGGAGCACAATGCAAAAGAAGTTCAAAGGAAGGTGGTTAGCATTTGCTCCAGGAGCCCTTGTCTCCGCCTTCTTCCCCTGGAGTTTTCTCCCTGACATGGAGGTCACAGTGAGATCACAGGGAGGCTGCATGCACCCTGCCATGGACCCTACCAGACCTGGTGAGGCTCTGTATACTCTCTCCAAGCACCGCAGACTGAGACTCTGACTGTGGAGGCCTCACGTGCACAGGAATGAGACACTTTCAGCTCTGACCTACCCACCACCTTTGGTTGTATTTGAGAAAAACTAGCTCAGGCATCCAAGGTGTTTTGTTATCTTTTGAATGACTTCTTTTCCTTTTAAGGATCCGCAAATATTTTCTTGAAAAATCTGTATCCTCGGTACTGGAGAGATGGCTCAGCAGCTAAGAGCACATACTGCTCTTTCAGGGACGTGAGTTCAGGTCCCAGTAACATCAAACAGCTCATTTCAGTCCGGGGAGCTCTGTGCCCTGTTTTAGCCTCTGCAGGCACTGGCATGCACATAGTGCACACATGCATGCAGACGAAAACGCAGGCATAACATTTTTAATGTTTTAAATCTGTGACCTCTGAGATTTCAGGCAGTCCTGTCCTCCACTGGGATAACAGCAGCACCACACCCACACTGATAGGTGTGTGCATGCCCATAGTGCCTTACAACTTCCCACAGGGCTGCCACAAGAGGTGACCCAGGTTCTCCTGATAAGTAAGCAGTTGTTATCTCCTTAAGCTTGGTTCTGTTGTAAACTGTTTTCTTATAGTCCAGCTCAGTAGTTTAAATGGATGACTCTGTGGAGTCGGGCCAGCATGTTGTTATGTAATCAAAATTCCGTCTTGAAAAAGAGAATTCAGTCTCAGTGCTGGTGACCAGATGACCTTAGGCAGGTAGTTGGCCCTTATGAGTCTCTTCGAAGTCAGGTGTGCCTGTAAAGAGTGCAGCAGGAGAAATTGTCAGATGCTAATTGCTCCCTTAATTAATGTCCTTCCTAATTATGATCATTAATGCAATCATTACTGAATCTTTGCCTCAATTATGTTTCTATTACTCTGCAATTATACACAGAAAGTGTCCCATCTCACACTCATTTTTCTAGTAAGGGTTATCCATTATTTGTTACTATAAAGTTTTCTTGAGAACAACAGTGCACAAGGCTACCAGTCACTTAACCTACAACAGTGTGGAGTCCTGAGAAATGGCTTCCATGCATTTCAGGGGCACTTAGTGAAAGTGTCTCCACATCTGTCAGTTTGGGAGATCTTTGCTGCAATTACCAAAGGGAAGCACTGAGCTGCAGCCAGTGTCCTGATTAATGGGTAAATCCTCGCAGCAGTATTGGCTGTGGACTAATGTCCTCTGTGGACTAAAGTCGGGTTGTAGTTCATAAAATTTGCATTTTTGTAATAGCTTTATTGAGTAATAATTTACATGCCATAAATATTAACCCTTTTAAAGTGTATAATTCACAGGTTTTTAATATATTCAGAGTTGTGCAGCCATCATCACTGGCTAATTTTAGAATATTTTCATTGCCCCACAAAGAAACCCTGTGTCCATTAGCAATCAGTCCTCATTCCTCTGCAAGCCCTACCCCTGGCAACCACTGATTACCTTCTGTCTCCTCTGGACATATCACACAAATGGAATTATGCAATAAGTGGTCTTTTACAGCTAGCTTCTTTCAATTAGCATAGAACTTTCAAAGTTCAAAACATTAGCATTTCTTAACATTACAGTATGAAACTGACTTAGTTAAAAATGTGTATCCAGGGACCCACCCTAACCCTGACCTCTCTCTTTCCTTTCTGGTTTTTGTTGTTTGTTTGTGGGGACAGAGCATAGGGAGTAAGAAGCTAATGTGGTTTTTGTTCTTGTAGATTTTGCAGAGTTGGAGGTGGATCAGGGCCTCATGTGTGCTGGGCAAGCATTCTAACCCTGAGTCACTCACCACCCATGTGTGGGGGTTTGGTTGATTGTGGGTTTGTTTTTGTTTGTTTTTTGGTTGGTGTTTCGGTTTTTGTTTTATGGAGGAGGAGTGGGTGTTGTTTTGTTTTGAAGCAATGCCTCTTGATATAAGCCAGGCTGGCCTTGAACTTACTATGAAGCCAAGGATGACTTTGAACTCCTAATTCTTCTGCTGTCAACTTCCCATCTGTCGAGATTAGAGATGTGTGCCACAATGTTTGGCATCAAGTTTGTTGTTATCGGGGATTTTATGTTTGTTTTGTTGGTTGGCTGTTGTTGCTATTGGGAGCTAAGGATTGACTTGTTGGCCTCCTATGTGCTAATCAAGCATTCACCTGCTATATCCCCAGCCCCTGGGAATATGCTTTTATTGAAATGTAACATACATGAATAGACTTCAGAAATCTGAAGTATACAGCTTGAGTATATCTTAGAATGTGAATGTCTCCTCTTGAGCATCGTCAGTGCTAAATATCAAATTACCCCCAAAGGCATCCTTTCAGCCCCCTCCTGGGCATCCCAAACCAGGCACTTGCTATTTTACGCAGTGTTCTTCTGGTTTGTTCAGTGTGTATCCGCATACCAGTCAAGCCCCGCTGTCTGTCTGCCCCATCCAGGCTTGAGCAAGCTCTTCTTCCCAGCCCTTCCCACCCGGGTTTCCTCCTTTCATTACCGTTGGTTCCCCGGGAATCAAACAGTGCTAAACACTCAAGAGCTCTCCGCACGCACTTCTGTCCTTGCTGTTACTCTGAGCCAGCTGCCCAGCTTTTCTGCTGCCTCCTGGCTTTTGGCCCTCAATTTCCTCCCAGACAACAGAGATCTCTCGACAGCACATCAAAGTGGGTCAGGGCGCACATAACTCCCTCCTGATCAGGTACCATGTGTGCAAGGGGAACGCCCAGGCAGATAGCCCTGGAACCTGTGCTGGCCTCTCTGCAGTCCCCTCAGCAGCCTTGTCACCAGATTGTTTTTAAATCCGATAAAATTGTGTTAGAATCCATGCCTAGCTTGCTCTTCACAAATAGTAAGTCATTTCTTTACGGGGGTGAGCTTTTATTTTAAAATTATTTTTAGTCTTTGAAAAAAGATTGGGTGTGTCCTGAATGAAAAGATATAAGAAGTGAAGGACGTGACTCCTCCTAGGTATGGTGGAGGAGAAAGTTTTTTGCAAATAAAAGGGAGCATAGCCAGAGACAGGGACATCTGGGAGAGTCCAGAGTGGACGTGGACGTGACTCTGAGCCATGTAGGAGATGGAGAGTCCAGAGTGGACGTAGACATGACTCTGAGCCATGTAGGAGATGGAGAAGGGAGAGGAGCTGCCAACCAAGAGGGGAGCCTGGACCAAGAGACCGACCAAGAGAGTAACATAACCAAATTATATAGAGAAGGGCAGCTGGGGGAAGGGGGCTGGAGAAGATTAGGGTAAGGGGCAGGATATGCCAACCATACCCTGTAACAGGGAGGGACTGAAGGATTGCAAGGAGAGCCGGCAGCCAGGTCCACTTTGGTATGTTAAGGAGGCTCCTTGGCCACTTGTCCCAGGGTTTGAGGCTTAACATTAAGCAGGTAAATAGAGGAATACCGTTTGCTCAAACTTCCTCACAGTTGCGCTCTTTCTATAGAAGAAATGCAAATGCTATATAAATTTCCTCCCATCAAAGGCTCTTAGGAGAATCAATGAAAAAATTCTGGTATTAGTCTTCTTGTATAGAAAGCGTTTAAAAAAAAGTCATTCTGTTCCTCAAAGAGTTGTCTCCAACTCTGTGACTCTTTTGTTTGTTTGCTTGCTTTGTTTTTCGAGACAGAGTTTCTCTGTATAGCTTTGGAGGCTGTCCTGGAACTCGCTCTGTAGACCAGGCTGGCCTCCAACTCACAGAGATCCACCTGCTTCTGCCTCCTGAGTGCTGGGATTAAAAGTGTGCACCACCACCCCCTGGCCCCCGTGACTCTTAAAATATGTTTTCCCTGAGTTAATCTTATCCAACCCATGTTCTTGCCTCGTCCGCTGAGCAGCCTGTGTCCGAGAATGTGGCGAGGGTGTCAGGGATTGATGACACAGACCCGAAGGCTCCTCAAGAAGGGTCTCCTTTATTCCTACTCTGGCTGGTTATTATATACCCTGACACCAGAGGTGGGGATGGGTGGGTCTGAGGATGGGTTAGTCTTTGGAAGAGGTTGAGGACAGGGCGGTTCCCGTGGGCACGCCCTTTTCAGGATCTTATTGCCCCGGGCATTGTATTGTGTTTAGTAAACATGTTTTTAGTAAACATTGTCTTACAGCTGCCTACTCCCAGGCCATGGGGAAGTGGGTCTCTGAACAAGATCTGGTGTTCCCACATGTTCTTAATCATCTCAGCCCATGGAACTGTTTCTCTTCCTGGGAAGAAGAAAACAAGCTGCAGAAAGATTAACCAATTGTCCAAAGTCAGATAAACCAAGGTTACCGGTGGCTCCAACCAATGTACTACTCCGTATCTCTGATTATGTCCACACATGCACTGAAAGCTGTAAAGCTATGTAGTGACGTGCATTGCTAGAATGAGGCACTTATTTATGGGCTGGCGTCTGAACAGAAACTGAGCTAATCTTTGCCTCGATGTCCCCAGCACCCTGTCCCTCTGCCGCTGTTCCTCTCTGGGCCTCTTTTACTTGACTCACAGTACAAAATGAAAAGGAGCCATGAGACGCAGCAAAGAAAGGCTCGCCACTGTTTCTTCGCCCTGAAACTGGCCCTTGTTTTTATAACCCTGGCCTCCCCACCGTCCATGGCCAGACTGCTTCCCAAGGCTGCTCTCACTTCCCTCCAACCTTTGAAAGCAGAGGTTGGATTCCTCCTGCCATGGGCATGTGGGCGTCTCTAAGATGGACCTCCTTTTGTTATGATTCTAAATTCTCTAGCGCCCATTCTGTATTTCTCCTTTGTTGCCATTCACAGCCCTGCCCAGTTTACTAACATTTGCCCTTTCCACTGCCCCTTATCTCCCCGCACTTTAATCAAGGCATTAAGTGAGATCAGTGGTAAAGCCAGTGTCCTCCATATTCAATAGATGCTCCCTCCTCTGAAGTTGTTGACTTGCGTTTATCATTACCCTTTCTTTGTTGGGCTTTCTGCCTGGGTCCTGTCATGGGTAGCCATTCAGTATAAGTTCATTTTACTAGTTACAGTTTTTAGATTCACTGTATCAAACAGTTTGCTGACAGCCAAATATGTGTCACCCACAGTGGTCTTTCACCCACCAAATTCACAGTTCGCACGGCTATCCATCACATTTGTCAGAGTCTTCGGGTCTTTAATTAAGCCCTGCTGGATACTGTACATACTTCCATTAGCTCCCTCCTCTTTACCCCATTACTTTCCTAATTGACATCCATCCTGAGTCACATGTCTTTGAATCTCAAGTGGCCCATTTTGTAGCTTTGGTTTATTTAGGTTTTTTTCTCTTTCATAAATAACCTAAGCATTTAGTTAATACACCCTCAAGTGTTTGCTATTGGGACCTGCTGATTTGCATATGCTTACACTTCTCAAATAATTGTGGATTTCAGAGGGAGCCAGGTTTCCTCTAGTAACACACTCTCTCTCTCTCTCTCTCTCTCTCTCTCTCTCTCTCTCTCTCTCTCTCTCTCTCATGTTTTAGATAGTCTCATAACAGTCAGAACTACTGATCCTCTTGCCTCTACCTCCCAAATGGATGATTATAAGTATGTGCCACCATACCCAGCTACCAACCTTTTTTTTTATAGAGACCTTTAAATCATGAAATAGATGGTCTTTGTTTCAACAAAGTGGAGAAATCCCCTAACAATTCTGACAAGTGTTCAGATTTCTAAATAGAAACGAGAGGCTGAGCGAGTGAGTGTAAGAGCCCAGCAAATAGTAGCTGAGGAGCGGCCGGAGTGATAATGGGTTGCAGCAGACCATCCCATCACCTCAGCCAGCCTGCCTCGACAGTTGTGAGGTGGACTGGAATTGCCACAGCTGCCATCTGCTGTAATCAAGCCATTACCTGGGTCCCTTCAGCACGAGCCTCTAATGAGAGTGGTTTCTGAGCAAGCCACGGGATGCCATGCAGTTCCACAATCTCTCTTCCCAAATGGTTCCAGGTAGGCAGAATCTCCACCTTATAAATGCAGAGACCAAGCTTGCTGTGCATAGCTCAGCAGTGTAGCCCTTGCCTAGAGTGCATGAGAGGCTCTGGATTCAGTCCCCAGCACTACAGTAGGTAGGTAGGTAGATGGACAAATGGATGGATGGACAGATGGGTGGATAGATGCAGAAACCATAAGCTCATTAACCCATTCATTTCTCCATCCCATCCTTAGCATTAATCAGTACTGTGCACCAAGCCCTGGTTTTTGTCTCTTACCTATGGCCCTCTAACTCTTCTGTCATTTCCCATGCATCAGTCCATGGGAAATGGCCCAGGCCAACAGGCAGACTAGCAAGTACTGGCATGGCTTGGCTTAAATTTAAACATTTGACTTCTGCCATGGATACCTTTGACATAGCCCTAGAATACGTGTTATTTTTAAAGAGCAAATAAAAGAAGCTTCTTGAAGCCAAGGACCATGCCTTCTATGTGAAGTTGTCTTTTGTAGTACTACTGAACTTCTTGGTTGTGGTAAAAAGGTCGGTTCTCCCTTTGAAGCAGCGCTTTGCATTATCTTTTGAAAAGTTAGTGCTTCCGTTGCTTTACTTAAAGATGGAAACAGCCATGGGGCCTCGGAATTATTTTTCAGCTTACACCAGCAGTTACCTCCCGATTTCTAGTCTATGAAATATAGATAATATGCAATTTAAGATTTTCTTACTAATTAGTAAATAATCTGTAGCTTTGCTACTGCTAGAGGGCAATATGCTATGTGCCTTTTTTTCAACCTGTGATATTAGACAAATTATTTTTTAAAATGAAAACTCTCCAAAGTGCTATCCGATAAACTATTTTAATTGAAAAAACTCAAAACTGCTATTCAGCACAGTGCAGCTCTTCTTAACCCAGGCTCACCTTTTGATAATCAAAAAAGCATTTACAGAAGCATGAGACAAACACAATTATGAAAGTAAAATGAAGGACCTAAATAAAAAATCACAGAACAAGAGGGTAATTCTATTCACTCTTTCATATTTCATTATTTGATAACATCAGGCGATGAATTCATCAGAATTGCTTTGGCAAGTGCAAACAAAAATCGTCCTCGTCAATATTTATTAAAACCTTCAGAATGGTAGAAGGACTTGAGCTGACTTCTTAATGTAGTAAATAATTATTCATGTAAACGGGCTTTGACCAAAGGCAATGCCAGACCAAAGAGACATAGCTAAGAGTATGGGGAGGCATTCTCTCCCCAACTCGGTGACTGTTACAGGAATGCTGCTGTCATCTCAGCAGTGACGGGGATGATGGATTCAGTGGAATCCCTTTGTTTCCAGCAACTGCATTTTCTGAGGAGAAATTAAGCTCTGGCTTCAGCTGCCCATGGGAAGTGCTGAGAAGAGGTACATTCCTGACAGGAGGGGTGAACACAGTTGGTGTGAACTTTGAAGTCTCCAGGAGAGACACCCCAGAATTGTGAATGTGTGGAGGATATCAGAATAAGCTGACAAGTAACTAATTGCTTGTCAGTCCCCCCAGCTTTGGAGTGTGGGGAGTGGTGGGGGTGTCCAGCCTTGGGCATCACACTTCAGGAAGTGCTCTTCCACTTTAAATATTGATAAAGGGACGAACAATGAAAGTGAGTGAAGGAACCAACAGAAAGACGAAGCAAGTCTTGCAAACCCAAAGTTCCGAATTGTACCGACCTCTGAAGTGACTATCTGCTGTCTCAGCGGAGACAATATGGGCAGAGTCTTTTCTAAAATCTATTCTACAGCAGCGTGCCCCAGACAAAAACCAGGGCGATCTGCTGAGACTATTAAAATCTACTCTACAGCAGCGTGCCCCAAACAAAAACCAGGGCGATCTGCTGAGACTATTAAAGACCATGCCAACATAAAATACTCATCTAAACCTGCCATTAACTGCCTGAAACTTATTTAGCTCTTCTCATTCCTGAAATGGAAATAACTTTGCTGCATTTCAAATTAAAATTTTCAATCATGTCTGTAATAAACTCTAAGCTCTTTGAAGGAGAAGACAAATAAGGACAATTATATTATATTTTAATACACCAATGTATTCTTCTGATACACAGGATTATCGCCTGCTTTATTATTGGTCTGGAAAGTATCTGGGCCAAGATTACACTTGTTGAGAGTATTTTCAGATCAACTGCTAATGCCCTTGCCTACCATTGCTTGGCAACAGCATCAGTGAGCCTGATGGCAGCCGTTCCATGATGTGAAAGGACCACGCAGGGGACTTTGTACCAGAGTAAAATCCAAAAATGCCACTGGTGCTTAAAAAGCACCTGCCATACCCTCTCAGGTTTTCATATGGGAAGCAAGTGACAGCATTTGTCCAAAGGCACTTGACCAGTTAAGATGGTTTGCAAGATAACCAGAACCTCTGCCTGGTTGCTGAGTGAGTCTCCCCACTGTAGGAGGCCCCTCCCGGTTATTTATGGGATAATTACCTGGTTTATAGTTTACTTGGTCCTTTTCTTTCTTCCCATTCCTGTGTTTGTTATTATAGTTACTATTAAGGAGACAGAGAAAACAAGAATCCAATGTTTCACCGTCTCATTTAGTTATCCTTTACCACTGGGTCTTTATTAAAGTGCCTGAAACACTCCAGTTGCAGGTTCAACACCCCTAGTCTGAAATCTGAAACCTAGTCTCTTGGGTACTAAGCTGATAGATACCACAAGTGGAAAATTCCACCTCCAACCTTGTACAAGGGGTTGCAGTCAAAACGCATCCTCACTAAAAAATTGCACAAAATTGCCTGCTGTAGTGAAATGCTTGAGGCAAGTTACTAATGAGGACAAGAGCTTCATTTTACAAGTTCAGATGTACTGTACCTGCATCATCTCTAGTTAAAAACTCCCTCAGATCCATCTTTCTCACAACAGGTGGGGATGGTAGCAGTTCACATAGAATCAAGAGATCACACTGCAATACAGAAAAACAAGAACAACTTGGAGGTCAGGCCCTGGCTTTTGTAAGGACTGTGTTCTTAAAACAGCAGTCCCTTCAGAGGGCAATACCATCGGGGACCCAGACCTGCTACTAGACCCTGGCTCCTACAGAGCCCACCATCTCCAGTGCTGCCATCTTGAGGACAAAGCCTTCTTAACACAGGAGCCTTCCGAGAGATTCTTGGGCCTTAAACCACACCATAACAGAAGTGTGGGAAATATGTTAATTTAGACTCAAGTTCCATCGCCAAGACATCTCACTACAGTGCATATAGTCCCCAAACTGCTGGGTCATAAGAGAGTGCTGTGTGTTTAATAACTCTCAATATCTATTGTCTCCCACAATGGCTGTACTAATTTCTATCCTCACCAGAGTGTGAGAATTCTCCTTTCTAAAGCGCCACACTGAAAACACATCATGATCCGTCTCCTAAAGGAAGTAATAAATCAGAAAGGCAACCAACTTTTAAAAAGTATGCTTACCTCATCCGTTTCCAACTCGGACAGACAAACAGGGAAAAATAAAGCAGGTAGCAAAATGGAAAACTCCTGAGTTAAATATTGAAGTTTCAGTTTGGAGCACTGAATCCCAGATCCACATAAACCTAATCATCTGCAACTGTGAGGTTTGTGTAAGCTAGGTGGGAACTGCCACAGTGCAGACTCACTCAGGTCAACAGAAGACAGCTGGAGCGAGTCAGTCTGAGAACTGTATTCAGTGCTACAAAAGCACGGCTGAATGTAATCAGCTACACAGACACTATTTACAGCTAGAGGTTTTCCTGTTTATACTTTCAGTATCTATATTGCCTTAGCTTTGGAGGCTGTTTAGGCCTTAAAATCCTTTAGTTTGAGATCTGAGACAAGTCACTTATGTTCTACAGCCGAGTTGCTTCTGTGTACAGTGTGAATTGTGATACGGTTTCAGAAGGTTGAATACACAGATGTATCTACAAATTAAACACTGTTAATATTACTACAATAAGTTCAGCTCCAAAACACAGCAGGAGCCCACAGCTGTTTACTTTTAGCCATCTTTATGCACAGGTTCTTATCCATAGAGCCTGCCTTCTATGGTTTTAGCCAATGAAAGATTAAAAGGAAAAAAATATGTGCAAACTTGTTATCATTATTCTCACAACACTTTATTATAGCCACTGTTGGCAGTTATGTTTGCATTGTGCTGAGTGCATAATCCAGACAGGATTTTAAAATGTATTAAAAGAGCCAGGCATGGTGGCACACACTTTTAATCCCAGCACTTGAGAGGCAGGGCAGACAGATCTCTGTGAGTTCAAGGCCAGCCTGGCCTACAGAGTGAGTGCCAGGCCTGCCAAGACTACTTAGTGAGACTCTGTCTCAAAAAATTAAAATGTATAGGAGGACTGTATAAATTTTACACAAATACCATATTATTTTATAGACAGAATTCGGCCTGGGGAACTGGCACTAACGCCCCCAGATGCCCAAGGTGACAACTTAACAGTCATTTAGAAATGAATCACCCTGAATCACACAAGTGAAAGAAGGCGGATGGTAAGAGTACCCAGGGATGTAGGCCAGCCCCCAGCAGGGCCCTGCTGTCTGTCACCTGCACACACACCTGCTGCCAAAGGCTATAGGCACAGGAAGAACGGCTGTGGGTGGTCTAGAAAGAGCGGGGCATTCTTCCCCTGGTTTACCTACAGGAAGCTATAGCCTTCTGTAGCAACCTCCAGTCACCATGGAGACATGAACTGAGTGACTGTGCCAGAGTGGGAGGTAGGATAGGTGTGGACTAAAGCCCTTCCTGGTCCTTGTGAGTTCAACGTATAAAAGGTTTTTAGAGGGAAGTCAGAAGGGTCCTAATGTTAAAAGCAAAAGGTTCAAGCAGTTTGTATACACACACATGCCTGATTGCATACACAGAAAATGCAGTGTGGCTTCACGACCAAGCCGGATGCCAAAATAGTCTTCCTCCGCAAGTCCCTTTGGGTCATGATGTCTTAGCACGGCATCAGAAAACTCATTCCCACCCCATGTCTGCTCATGATACTTTGGATAGTGCTACTAAAGGCACACTACAAAGGGCAAGAGGAATCATGGGCAGGCACACACTTGGTCACAGAATGTTCCAGTCACCACGATAATGCCAAACTCCTTTGGTCCAGAATATTCAGTCCACAGCTAGCAGCTGGCCTCTGAATGTTAAGGGCTTCTAATAAAGAGACTCCCCCTTTGAGTCCTGAGCTGGAAAACACCTACAGCACATGTGTGTTCACTAATGCAATCCAGGCAGCCACATACAATGCCACCTGCTGTGAGCTGGGGAGCCATGGCTGCTGTTTCAGTGCTTGACGACAGAAACACTGAAGTCTCAGTACGTACCCATCAATTACTTATTACTGTTGGCTACATGATTTCATTTCAGTCCGTCACGGAAGCTCATTTAATTGCATAGTTTGGGGCATTTCCCACTTTCTCTTTAGGGTATCTTGTAGCACCTTCCCACTCCATGGACTTCTTCTGCCCATTTGTTAGTCTTCGCTACTGGGTAAGGTAGCTTTCTAGAAGATAAATGAATTTCATTCTGTCTTTAAATATTTATGTTTCTTTATGATCTAATATATCATCATGGTTATAGGGGAATTTACCCTAACTATAGAAAATATGCCATCAGTTACCTGTCAATTTTGTTTAATAACTCAGCTTTGTAATTCTGGCGCACTGTTCATCGGAGACTGTTGAGAGCTCCGTTAGTCTCCCCTTTGCCTTCAGAGTGTCATTCTGGGATTTATAAAGGTCATCAAGGCGCAGAGGATAGTGAAACATTAAGTACTTAGTGGTGTGCCCTCGTCGCTCCTCGCACTGGAAGATGTGGGGCTAGAGATCTTGGCGTCTTTGTCTTGTTTCTCCCAGGGTGGGATGGCAGTCTCTGTAGAAAACCAGTCTCCCTGGAAGCAATTCATCAGAGTTTTCAGAGGAAATCCAATTTCTTCTGGGCTGATGGGCACAGCATTGCCTTTAAAGATAAATGATGAAAATATCAATATCATAATGCAAAGAACTCCAATTCTTTTGGCTTAATCTCAGTGAAAAGTATCATAAACCATGATACTTCTCAGTAGCAGCCCCTACTTCTAGGTCCTAGGTAGGAGTGGCTTGGAACCTTTGGGAGTCGCAGTGCCAGGGTGTGAAGCTTCTGTACTCCACACTCCTCCTGACCCCCAGGTAGTTCTGAGTTGAAGTTTAGGAACATCTAGGCTAGAAAGTCCAGGTTTCAAAGGGCCTAACTTAGGTCTAACACCATTTGAATAGTCCAAATTTGTACATGTCTTCTTCTTGAGCAATTTTAAAACGGATATTTTCAGGAAGTTCCCTAAATAGACAGCTTTTTCTCACACCTGTGCAGCTAAGGGAAACAGAACCATATAGCATAGGCCCTTAATTCATAAAATAAGGAAAGGGTCAGGGAGGAAGTACTATGTGCCACAGCACATAGATACTGTTGAACAGTATGAAGCACCTTCCTACAGCATAATTTTTTCACTAGAATATTTTTAATTACAGCAGGTACATCGAGGAGTATAGTATAAAGCTCGTGGACTTTATGCTAAACTTGCAACTTCAGAGGGTTTCCTGATTATTGATGTTACTGCTTTCCCAGCATCCTCCAAGTGACTCTATCCTTCTCTTCCATCAGAGGTCCTTCTGCCTACATCCAAGGATATGCTTAGCATTGCTTTCCAAATACCTGGTTATATGTTCATCACTTTTCTCATGACCGAATGCCTGACAGAAGTGCCCTAAACAGCAAGGGTGCGTTGGTCCTCACAGTTGAGGGGGTGCAGTCCGTCTTAGTGGGGAAGGCGTAGCTGCTCGCCCTAGGACAGTGAGAGGTTACAGCTGCCATCTCCTCACATCTCCACGGATCATGGAGCAGAGAGTGTTGGGGAGACCCAGAACCAGTGTATAGCCCTCATAAGCTAGTGTCCTGCATCTGCTAGTGTCCTGCATCCAGCTAGTTCTTGCAGTTTCCACAGCCTACCTAAGCAGCGTCAGCAGCTCTGGATAAGTGTGCAGATATATAAACCTGGAGGAACATGTCACAGTCATGCCACAGCAGGTTTCATAAGGCTGAAATAAGTCCTCATTTGAAACCACAACAGAACACTAATCTTCAGGGGACTCTCCACATGATAGTGCCAAACTGTGCTCCCGAGACACTCATAAAGTTGCCCATCTGAAATAAGCAGGTTTACCCACACACACACACTTCTTAGTACTATTCGAGGGCATCATTTCTCCTGTTCTAATGGAATATCAATTGAAAAGAACAGCCAGTGGAGATACCAGAACTACTCCTGACTTCACCCCCATTGAAACAGCAATCATAAAGCTCTTGAAATACATCCCCATACCCAAGGATCGCTTCCTTCCTCCATAAAATGGGAGGTTTGGAGGGTGTTTTGGTTTGGTTTGGTGTTTGGTTTTTGGTTTTTCTCTCCCCCAAGGTATTCTTGATGAAGAAGAAGCAAACTCAAGGACCTGAGTGCAGGAACCAAGTTCCCGAGCCAGCATTCCTGATGTGTAGGATTTCTTTACTGCCCATGTATATTCATTGCACTCTGCTGGTTTTAGCCTCTCAACCTTGGTAAAGCTTTCATGGCAGGGAGGAAGGAGGTGACTCGCACCCTGCAAGCCTCTTCTGTCCCTTTACTGATAGACTGGGCACACAAAGCTGTCCTAATACTACCATTGCTATAATTGTGTTCCTCTTACCATTGCTGTTATGAGAGTTACCTTGATGAAACACCACCTTCTAAGTGCTTTATATTTTTATACTAATCCTTCCAGTAACCTGAAGAAGTAGGCAACGTTATTGTATTTGTTTCTAAGAGTCTCCAATAATAAGATAATGAGTAACTCCAATAATAAGATAATGAGTGAGTGACTAAGAGGTTGAGTGGGACAGAACTTGCCTTGCAGGTAATCAGTAGCTGTTTGGGAAGTAAGTAAACATATTATCATACAATTAACAGCTTGAATATGGCCCCAGCCACCATGCTGATGGAGGAAACACTCACCAAGGTTCTGTCTTGCTTCCCCAGGCAGTACTACGAGATGCTCTACAACACAGCCGATGAGCTCCTGAACCTGGTGGTGGACCAGGGCGTGAAGTACACAGAGCTGGAGTATATCCACGCTCTGACCCTGCTGCACCGCAGCCAGACTGGCGTGGGGGACCAGACCATCCAGAATACCAGGCTACAGAGGCTCAAGGAGATCATCTGTGAGCAGGCTGCCATCAAGCAAGCCACCAAGGACAAGAAAATAACCACTGTCTAATGGTGTGCACCGCAGTGGGTATGGGTGGGGTTCAGGCTTAGTGCAGCCATGGTTCTAGCATCAGCCAACTTGCTTTTGCCTAAACTGACGTTTAGTGGATGGAAGGTATACTATTTTCTCCTTAGTTTTGCTATATGAACTCTAAGGAAGTTTTCAGTACAGAATGTTTGGCCTAATGGCTACTTTGGGGATGAGTGTGGGACAGGACAGAGGACATGTCAATTTGCTGGACTCTGAGACAAGAACAGAGGAAAGCTGGCTGCCACCTGAGATTTAGGACCGTCCTGAAACTACTTAATGTGGTCTATGGCGTAAGCAGGGGCTTTATTCTCTTTGTCAGTTTATAGTTCAGTAAGGTGAGTGTGCACACATTACTTTGTCTTCATTGCCAAAATGAAATAAGAGGCTTCTCAGCTGGCTCCCCGTCTCCTCAAGGCCGGGGAGAAAGCAGCGCTTCACCCCCTGCTGGGGGTGAGGGTGCTATAGCTCGTATAAAGCTGGTTGGCTTTATAGCCTTTTTGTTTTAGTCCTTCTGTATTAAAACCAAGAGTCAGGGCTGGAGGGGTGGCTTAGCAGTTAAGAGCACCGACTGTCCTTCCAGAGGACCAGAGTTCAATTCCCAGCACCCACACATGAACCTCATAGTCATCTGTAACTTCAGTTCCTGCTGACCTCTTCTGGCTCAACAGGTACCTCATGTATGGTGCACAGACATAAATGCAGGGGAAATACTTATGCACATAAAGTAAGAAAAAACCAAGTCATAAAACTAGCGCTAAAGGATGAAAGGTGATTCACCCTCCATGACTTGACCCTGTAAACAATAATGGCAGCAGAACGTCCCATCTCACACCCACTGAGGGTAGACTTGAGGGGCTCCCTCATGTTCCTATGTACATTACGTTAGTGACTTGTCCTGCTCTGTGGCAAATGCGACTCAGGAAAGGAAGGGTTTTTGGCTAACTGTTAAGCCCATCACAACAGGGAAACCATGACAGCTGGGGCTTGAGACAGCTGCTCACTGCATCTGCAGTCAGGAAACAGCAGTGGATGCTTCTCCTTGGGTAGCTTTCTCCTTTTTATGCAGCCTAGGACCTCAGCCCATAGAATGGTTCCCCGCACATTCAGAGTGGGCCTCCACACCTCAGTTAATATGATTTCAATCCAGATAGTCCTGTCCTTGTTGGTAGCTGTTGCTGTAATAAACCATGGACCAAAACTAACACCCACCAGGTATACAGGCACACAAAAATAAAAATAGTTTTAAAAGAATTTGACAGTGAAAAAGTAAAGCAATTAGTATTACAGTAAATATTGAATCTACTGAAAAATTCAGAGAGGAATAAAGCAATACAAGTATTTAATATTAAGCAGTGTAGCTCAGGTCTGCTCAACTAAAAGCAAAAATGATGGGACATTTTTCCTGTAATGAAGACTCTTTTTTTTTTTTTATGTGTGTGTGACAGGGTTTCTCTGTGTAACAGCTCTGGCTGTCATCAACTTGCTCTCTGTAGACCAGGCTGGCCTCAAACTCAGAGATCTGCCTGGTATTAAAGGCATGCACCACCATGCCTGGATGCTAAGCCTCTGCTGAATTGCCCTTTCCTGATGTGGGGTCCTGAAATGCTCGTGGCAATATGGATCTTGCCAGTGCCCCAGGCTCCCACATCCTCTTGCTACTCAAGGGTCATAGGTCACAGAAGGCATCAGTGCACAGACAAGAAAGCATCTTGAACACACTTGGGAAGAGTCAGAAGGGCTGGGGCTACTCAAGGTCACTCTTAGACCCTGTGGGAGGGACTTTTCACACCTGTTTGTAACAGCTTTGATCTGGATGGGAAAACCAAAAATTAAAACTGTTTTTGAGAAGCTTCAATGTTGATTGTCCTTTTTCCCATAGTCTTTATTTAGCAAACATTTCCTGGGACCCTGACATGTACGAGTGGGCTTCACTTGGGCCATGTCTTAGGTGGTGTGAAGACACCGTGACCAAGACAACTCCTTAAAAGGAAAACATCTAATTGGCTGGCTTATAATTTCTGAGGTTCAGTCCATTATCGTCATGGTGGAACAGGGCAGCATGCAGGCAGACATGGTGCTGGAGAGGTAACAGAGTTCTACATCTTGCACAGGCAACAGGAAGTAAACTAAGCCACTGGGCATGGCTTGAGCAAATTTGAGAGCTCAAAAGTCACCTCCACAGTGACATACTTCCTCCAACAAAGACACACTCACTCCAGCAAGGCCACACCTCCTAATAGCGCCACTCCTTTTGGGTGCCATTTTCTTTCAGGATACCACATGCCAGATACAGATACAGAGGACACCTGTACCTAGAGCATTTAGGTACTGGACTTGAAATCCAACAAATTTATACCCAAACCTGAGCTTGAAACCAGGTCGCCAATGGGGCAAGAAGCCAGCAGGCAGCTGCAGGATGGCTTTCCAGCACCTTCTGAGAAGGAGGAGGGCTACACGACTGTGGTTTAGAACCCTGACAGGGAAGAAGTTGAATGCACACAGGAGACAAGGATGGAACAGCACCCTGCCTGCTCATACAAGGCTCTTCCCAAGAAGCAAGGGTGGCAGGAGGGCGGAGAAGTGTTGGAGTGGACCGCTTCTGTTTGCATGCTTCTCTGCAGTGGCTGTGGCACTTAACTCAGACCTTTGCCATCCCCTTCCTCCCCGATTATGCTGAGGTATGGTTTTCATGGTGTGGAAAGGGATGAGAACAGGAGTTGAGAGTAACAGTGGGATCCGTGAGAGCCAGCAGTCTGCAGGCAGAGGAGTTGCTGCAGAGAGTGTGTGTGAGAGTGGATCCCACTTTGCTACAACAGAAATACCATTCACACAGCAAACGGCCATAGGGGCCTTTGCCTAAGGCATCCAAGCACACACCTTGGGTAATTCATTGGTATTTATTCTGCAAACAGTCAAGGCCAATGACACATTCCGTAGCTGGTTGAGTGGCTCCAGAGGGATGACATAGCTACCTTAGAACCTGCCACCACTGGGGACATGCTGAAGGTTTCTACATGGTATGGCCCTACTCCAGGGATGTTTTATGAGAAGGATTCTGTCATTCACAGTCATACTAGAAAGTATCAGAGTAGCTACAGAGCCCAGACACATACAGCCATGAGTTAACATTCTACCATGACAACCACTCCCTAAAAAGCACTGTTGTCAGTGAAAGACAAAAATACCAATAAGCCTCAGCAGGAGTGCACTGAGAGCAAAGCCCACCATTTTCTCTTAAATGTGGGACCTATGACTGGTCCACATAGCTACCCAGTGACTCCCCTTCTACAGCCTCAAGCGAATGTGGAACAGAGATATACTTTAAACAAGTGACAAATGCCGGTGAGGATGTGGGCTGGAGGAAACACTGCTGGTAGGAATGTAAATTATCCAGCCAACAAGACACAGCTGTGAGGGCTCCTAAAATAGTAAAACTTGATGGGTTCTTCTGTCTCTGGTCCCTTGTCCTGCACCCCCTTACCACACCCAGAAGCAGTATTCACACACTTTCTCAGGTGTAGCTCTCCTCATCAAAGAACCTTCTTCTCTAAAGCAGACAGAGGCTGCTACACAGATTTCACAACTGGTCAAAATGTGATCATGTGACTGTAAGGTGCCCAGCCCCAGCTCCAACCCCTACACCTAAGGCTTGAGCATCACAGAAAAGGGAAACAGGAAAAGTATAAGAGTTAGAGGACCAGGGTGGCTGATGCAAGATGATGTCTTCTAGACACATGCTGCACCTATGAACTCTCAAAATATGGCTGTCTACATAATGACAATAGCAGTTGACTTGCCAACATGCACGAGGGGACAATTCACAAGGTCTTACCCCTGATAAAGAACTACAAGTGGTCAATGGCTACTAAGAGGGGAATCAGACTTCTCCAGGGTTATTCAGTCACAAGTGGCCACCCCTAAAGGCATGCACACAAACAGAAGTAAACAGACTCACAAGGGTGTGAGTATAACAATAATTATAGAAGAAGTAGCTATGGATTTAAAAAGAAGGGGGGAACATGGGAGGCGTTAGAAGGGGGGATAGAGATGATATAAATACAGTGTGCTCATTTATGAAAGTCTCAAAAATTAAAAATTTTAGAAATTCAAAAAGTGAAAATAGATCTACCACATGACCCAACTTTACCACTCCTAGGTGCTGACTTACCTAAAGGACTCAAGTCCACATGTCACAGGGATATTTGCACAGGAATGTTTACTGTTCACAGTAGCTAAGGATGGAACCAGCCCAGGTACCCAACAATGGAGTATTGGGTAAAGGAACTATGCTGTCGATGCAGATGCAGACATGCTGGACATGGATGGTGTATGCATGCTGCAGATGCCCCATGAGATGGGTAAATTCTCACTACAAAGAACAGAGTTGTCATTTGCAGGAAAACGGATGCAACTGGAGATAATCGTATTAAGCAGATTAAGCCAGCCTCAGACAAAACTTTGTTGCCATGTCAGCTGCTGTTGTCATGCAGGTCTCGTGCAGGCAGGCATATTGTTGAGAGTTTGTGAGTGTAGTTTCCAGATCTTATATAGCTCTATAAAATCATGTATGTATATATGGGTACCCCTAACAGGAGGGTACAGGGGTAAGATGGGAGGGTGGAGGGTTCTGGAGAAAATATGTTCTGTGTGCATATATACATGTATGAAAAACTCTTTTAACAATTCCATGTACCGTTAACATATGCAATAAATATTTTAAAAAATGTTAGTGGGTGACAGAAGGAATAATACACATTAATGAAAGAGGAAGTATTTCCTTTTTACTGCGAAGTGTGGAGTTCAGTGGTTAAGAGGATTCTTTGCTTTGGGGTATCAGAAGGCTTACAACTGCCTATAACTCCAGCTCCAGGCATCCCACACCCTGCCTGCCCTCTGCAGGCACCTGCATACAGACATACAGACACACAAACACACAAAATAAAACCTTTTTATAAAAGTAAATGCAGAATGCATTCATAAACTTTTACATCCACAGAATCCTGGAGCCAACCCCCTGGGGGTATGAGGACTTTTCTGCCTATGGTCCAGCACCCCGGATTAGGAGGAAGCGTCCTGAGACAGACAGTAAGCATAGCCACGAAGGACAACTGAGATTGTCACCCAGCTTGCTAGAGAGAAACTCCAGTTCCCAGGGACAGTGTTTCTTACTACTGACCACTGTCACCAGTACTTGACACGTCTTCCCATTTGTCCTCACCACAACCCCACACCACGGATATTCTTTACTTCCTATGCCCAATGTAGAAACCGTGAGAAGACTTTCTTCCAGTCTAGCCATGTTAGAATAAATTCCTTGAAAAAGAACCAACCTAACTGCTCATCACGATATGTATCAAAGTCAGGACCTCTGTCTGTAGTGCTTTCTCCTGTGCCCTCCACCCCCTGAGCACCCATTTAAATAATCTGTTCTATTCCGTTTCTCCCAAGGCATCCAACCCATTGCAGAATTTGGTTTTCATTCCTGCCTCACGATGGGTTTTTGGGTGGGGTGGTTTTTGATTTTTGAAGACAGGGTGTCTCTGTAACACTGGCTGTTATGGAACTTGCTTGTAGACCAGATTGGTCTCAAACTCAGAGATCTACCTGCCTGTACTTCTCAAATGCTAGGATTAAAGGCATGAGCCACCACTGCCGGGCTCACAATGGGGTCTTTTAACCTCTTTGCCCAGATAGAATTCTCTCTCTCTTACAACTAATAACATCGTGGAGATTTGACAAAGATCTGTTCTGCAGCCTCTTGCCCTTAAAGAATTGTTTACAAGCTCTCAAAGACAATTTATTCCTTGGTGGTCCACATTAGACTTCATTCTGAAGTCTGAAGAGACTTCACTCAAAGTCCCAGGCCCTCTCCCCTCTTGCCTGAATATTTTCTTAACCTGGTAGTCATTATTATGTATTTCAAATAGCTTGTGAAAGAAAGCCTTGACACAGAGAAGTTACAAGTATGGTGACACATGATCTCTGCATATGCTTGCAGCTCAAGTGACATGGCATCTCTACAGTGGCATCCAGAGTCCTTGTGGTGTGATCTGGTTGTTTCCACTGGCTTCTTATGATCTTGCCTTTTCTAAAGTCTACACTTCCCCCTCTAACACAAGCCTTTCATTTAGGCAGCCATTGCGTCAGACTGAGAAGTGAAATCTTCATTCAGCCCGACTCCCTGCTTCTCGGCTTAGTTGTGTGAAGCTTTGGACGTTCAGGCTGTCCCTTTCAGTGTGCCGTCCCTCACCAGCACAGCCTGCCAGTGCCCGCCTCAGCAACTCCAGATGGAACAAACGCATTCCTGCCTTAAGGGCTCTGTGAGTGGGCCCGGGCCATTACAGTTGGGCTTCTTGCTCTGAGACATGGTAGCGGCTGCCTCCCCAGGACCAGGGCACAGAAATAGGAGGACAAGGAATTAAACAACGGGCCAGAGTCCAGCCCCAGGGTTCAGCAAGACTGAGCTGGATTCATTCCATCCGGGGCAAATGTGAGCAGAGACCGAATAATGGCCAGCCTTCCACAGGTTACGGGAACCAGGAGATGTTCTGGTCAAGAAAGCTTGAGTTGAAAAGCGGAGTGTACGTTGTGATGCACACCTGAGAGCAATCGTCTTAATGTGGCACGGATGTAAAACAAATTGGGCATAATTTGGAGGGAGGGTAATGAGGTACCAAGAATGGAAAAGCATAAAGAATAGCTAGGCTCCGCAGAGGTCTCAACTCTGTCCTAATTAGACACAGTTGTTATAAGAAGCGCATAATTAATAAGCGTGTGACCAGATGTGGAGTTCTTTTCCTGACATGAGCCTGGTAATGAACTGCATGGTGCTGGAAGGAGTTGTCCTGCCTTGACTGTGCAGAAGGCCTGCCTGGAATTTTGAAGAGGTGTGTACACCGTGTGGCTTTACACCTGGAAACAAGGAATCGGATTCCAGCCGGGCCGGGGTAATGGGATGAAGCTAATTACCAAAGTCTAATGAGATGCGAGAGTCACTGGAGCTAAGCTGGAAATCTCTCTGAAATTGAACCAAGATGCAAACAGCAGAAAGGACGTCTGTGAGCAGAATGAGGTGTGAGGGGAAGAAATGCGTGTGACCTGAGGGCGAACCCAGCCAAAGACATTCTGTGATGGAAAATACTGCCTGGGCGTTCACACACCTGGAGCAGGAGTCCCTGGGATCCCAAGGATTCAATGACCTGTAAAAGCCACATTCGAATGTGTAAATGTATATACAGCTTGTATGTGTGTAAACAGCTGGAAAAAAAACCACGAGGCTGGGCACTTGTAGGTGAGTGGAGTTCTCATTACCCATGATCCCTTGTAGAAGGGTGGCCTCAGACACCTGCTGACTGCATAGATGTTCCAGGAGGAACCCGACTCCACACAGAAAAAGCAAGTTTTTCTTGTTTTTTTTTTCCATAGGATTTACTTGCCATGAGACAGCAGGAAACCATTACTACCTGGTTTCTGTTGTTTTCAGTTTGTGGTTGATTGCTAGTGCATTATGGGAGACACAACTTGAACATGTAATGTGTCTGATATGTGTTAAATGCTTTACCACACTGTTTTTCACTGAATCTCCACAATAACCCTGTGAGAGACCCTATCATCCCCACTCCACTGAGGACATGGGACACTACCACAACACACACACACACACACACACACACACACACACACACACACACTGTACTAAGGGGTGTGACAGAATACACGATTTCAGATTAAGATTAAAACTGTGTGTACCAGGATTTCTCTCTTTGGGCCACCAACCAGTTCCCAAGTTATGACCTGGAGAGTTCGTATTGGTTATGAATCCTCTGGCTAACTCTGAATTTAAAGTAACCTGTTTCTGTCTGTCTGTCTTTTGCCTCAGGGCTTTTTACCTTCTTTCTGTATATCTGACTTGCGCTTCTTCTCCAGTCTGCTTACTGGTAGCTGGCTGGCTGGCCGAGGTGTCCCCCTCATTCTCTCCTCTCTTCTTCCCTTCCTCTTTCGAGCCCAGATTCTCCTCGTGTTTATGCTGCCTGCCAATCATGCCTATCCTTTCTCCTGCCCAGCCATTGACTGTTCAGCTCTTTATTAGACCAATAAGGTACTTTAAAGGTGAATCAGATGCAACACATCTTTACATAATTAAACACACATCCTTACATCCTTAAACAAATGTAACACACCTCTATTCAGCTAAAGTAATATTCCCCAGCATAAACAAATATAATCTTTTCCCAGTTAAAATAATATTCCAAAACAGCTATGCATGCAGCTTGGGTTGTAAGAGCTGGACTGCATTGCTTTCTTAAAGCAGGTTAAATTAAACAGGCTGAGCACAGAGTAGGACAGCAGACTGAGTACATAGATTGAAATGATCTCAAGAGATATTATTAACTTGGTGGGTTGCAAGGTCTGGCAAAAGTTCAGTCTCTGAAGGCAAGAGGTATTTTCAGAAAAAGATGTTCCCTAGGGAGGTAGCCTTCCCCAGGGAAGAGCACACCAATGGCTGCCCAATACTAAGTGGTCAGCCCTGAAAACATACATAGAGGTAGCTTTATATGAACTGAACAGATTAATGCAATAACAATTAGCGAAAAGAGAGGCCATAAATTTCAAGGAGGGTGGAAAGGAGTTTATCGGAGGGCTTGAAGGGAGGGGGAAATGTAATTAAATTATAATCTCAAAAATAAAATAAATACGGAGGGAGGGGAATCTCCCCCAGAGATTGGCTTTCATTTCTTAGTAGTCTGTCATTTTTCTCATTGTTATGAGATCCTGTTCACTTCATGACAGCCAGGAAGACACACACAGAGACACATACAGAGAGACAGACTGAGACGGACAGCACAGATGGCAGTGTATTCTCCAAGAGCAAAGCCCCAGTGCCCTATCTATCTCCCGCATAAAGATCCACCCCTGCAGGCTCCACTGCCCTCCAACAGCGCCGAGATGAAGACCAAGCCTCTAACAGAAAGGACTTTGAGGAACATTTCTGGCCAAGCTACCCAGTACATTACCCTGCTGTGGGCATAAGCACTGGACAGACTTACACAGCTTGTGTCCCAACCATCCAACTTCTCAGAGCAGCAAATGCCAAGGTCCAAGAGAAGAACGTAGAGATAACTACTCAGTGATTGAGCCAGAACTCGCATCCAGAGCTCTTGGCCTTGACACCCCAGGAACACTGCATTTGGGGACCCTGAATGTGCCTTATGTTTAGGTTAAAAGAAAGAAACTAGACGGCAAGAAAGAACAACATCACGGATTAACTAAGGAATACTGTAGCCAGCATCCCAAAGGAAGGTCACTCTGTGAATCAGGCTATTCCTTTGAAAAATCCAGCAATAGGAGCAGTGGCTGTAGGTGACTGCAAGCCATATACAACTTGATGGAGGTGTCTGTGATTAGATCATGGTGTTGAAAAGGATGTAGGTTTGGGGCATCAGTTGAGTTACTTGAGATGAAGGGATGTGCTTTGACAGCCCCACAGTTTACCATAAGAGCCAGTACATGGGACTCAGCAGAACGCACTGTGAAAACTCAGAGAAAGACCCTGGCTTGGTCGGTTCTGTGCTGCCATAACAGAATCCCAGAAACCATGTAATTTGTAGGAAGCAAGAATGTGTTTCTCACGCTTTTGACAGCTGAGAAATCCAAAACCAAGGAGCTAGCATCTGGCAAAAGTCATCTTGCCCTGCTTCCGCTTGGTGGGAAGCAGAAAGACAATAGTTGAAAAAAACTAGGCATAGTGGCTCATGCTTGTAATCCCAGCACTCAGGAGGCTGAGATAGAAGGAGCACCACAGATTCAAGTCCAGCCTGGGCTACAGAGCAAGTTCCAGGTCAGCCTACACTAAAGTAAAAACCTGCGCTAAAAAAAGAAAAAAAAAAAGGATAAAAATGAGCAAGAGAGAAAGAGATTGGGATTTTCTTATAGGAACTGGCTCGAAGGTGAGTACCTAAGAACTGAGGGACTCGATGGTGCTTCTCCCAGGCCAGGGCGCGTGTCCTGATGTAATCCCTGAGTACAGAAAACCAGGAGCCCACTGCCCAAAGGTCGGAGAAGGTGACCCGCTCAGCGTAGAGAGAATTTACCCTCATTGCCTGTTTTCATTCTTCCAGAGCTCTCAACAGATTGGGCAGTGTCCTCCAAAACGGTGAGGGTAGGTCTTCTGGGGATATGAATTGCTTGTTCCGTGCTGATCTTCAGATGGACCTAGAAACAATGTTCATCATCAGCTACCCAGGCCTGCCTCAGCCCAGTCAATTAACATTCCAAACCCTGACCCTGCGTCTCCTCCGTTCACAGCTCCTTTCTTCCTCTGTCTCCTTGTTTTATTTTTAGCTCAGCTAAGAGTTTGTAAGCCCACACACATAGGCCTAGGGTCAGTATTTTGAATTATTCATAAGAAATCTTCTATAAAAATCCAATATATAATTTTAAAAACCTGCTATCTGTAATAAGTAACTGGCGCCAGAGCCTGAAGGCCCTAAAACATGAGGCCATACATTTCTACTTCTTGTCCTAATCCGGCAGGAACAGCCCCTGTTTTTGTATTGCGTGCCTCCATTTTTCACTATGCAATACCATTCCTCAGAGTTGAGATTGTTATCCTCCAGGAACCAGGATCTCATTCATCAACCATGAAAGTCCTGGTAGAAAACTCCATCTTCAGGTTTTCTACCTTCCTCCCCAACAGCTGTGACGTTCTTCCTTCTCTGATGTCCCAATTGAAGTAAATGTGCCTGCAATTTAAACAAGATCGAAACCCACCACTTTTAAATGAGAAGACATAAGCCAAAGGGCTGCTAACGAGGCCAGCTATAAGAAAACTCCATGTGGTAGCTTTCCACGCTGGAAGGGCTGTGGCTGGCTAATTTGTTATAGAGCCGACAAGTATCTACTCAGGCATGATAGACGTTGTCCGGGATTACACTTGTATTAACCATCGGTATGTTCTGGTCTATTCTTCACTTCTGTGGTTTCTGGATGCAGACAGGCCCTGTCCAGCAGACACCCAAGATGGCCACTCACTTTCCCTGACCCTACTCAGAGTTCGGAAGGGACGTGAGCATCTGATTTGCTCCATAGCCCAAGCCCCCAGGAAGGACTGTACATACCATTGCTACACCCTCAGCTGGCTAAGCGTCGTTACCTTCTGCCATGAGGAGAGCAGGGAGAGATGTCTCTCTCCACAACTTTGCCAGCAGGTAGTAAGCCACAAAGGGGCAATCCGCAGACAACATGTCAGCAAGCAAGTATACAGGTCACCTTTCAGCATGTCGTAAGCCTGGGAAGTCTCCAGACTGTCCCCACTCTCTGACCATCATGTTATTGGAACGTGACTCCAAAGCAAACAGAAAGATTCTGTCAGCAGGATCAGACCCACCTCCTAGTCGTATCAGTCACTTGACTGCTCCATCCGTTCTGGGAGATCAGGGTCCTGGGGTGCAAGTGCATCACTTTCAAACAGTGAATTTATTTTCAACTTCATTCAAAAAATAAAAAGCCCACAAAACCTTACTTGGCAGCTGCATATCTTAAACACACTTGATACTCACTTATAATTCATCTGTCTTACCAACCTTTGGATGTCAATTCTGGAGAAACTGTCCATGCCCACTCCGGTAGAGAGAGAGTTGTAGAGGACACACTGGAGTCTAGCCTTCTCTTAGGTAGCGGCCAGCCTGGGCTAACCTGCTCCTCATTAGCATCCCACCCTGTAGTTCCTCTAGTCCCCAAAAGGGGGCGTCTACTAACCGTTACCTTCCTGGTTATGGGTGCTCGTTTGCACTGTGCCCTTGGGAACCACTGTTCAGATTTGCAAAGTAGGATCTAGGGTGTAGTCCCAGCTTGTCTCACAGCACAAGGATGAGGACAGGTTCCTCCACAAACAAGGCTGTACTTCATCTCTGTGACCTGATGTTCCTCCAACGTGCTCTCTAGTCACACGTGTGCACACACACACACACACACACACACACACACACGTGCTCACACACACACAGTCAAATCTAGAAGTTTGATCAAAAGGTCTTGTGAACTTGTGGTGATATATTATTTATGATTTAATAAAGCTTGCCTGAGGGTTCAGAATTCAAAGTGAGCCACAAGCCACAGAGCCAGGCAGCATACTAGCTAGCCATACTAGCAGTATTAATCCCAGCAGCCATATTAGCTAGCCATAGAGCTAGGTAGTGGTAGCACACACCTTTACTCCCAGGACTCAGAAGACAGGCAGATGGAGCTCTGTTAGTTCAAGGCCACACTGAGCTACACAAAAATTGATCCAGTCTAAAAGAGAAACAGCTCACGTAAAGGTGATCTCAGCACTTGGGATCCCACGCCTCTAATCCCAGCTCTAGGGAGGTATAAAAGGAAGAAGCGAAGGTCTCATTTGGAGATTTAGTTTCCAGATAGGGAGAACATTTGTCTCTGAGTATTCATGGAGCCAGGATCACCCTTTCAGTCTGAGGTAGAGGTAAGAGCCAGAGGCTGGCTGCTTTGCTTATCTGACCATCAGCTTGAACCCCAATATCTATCCCTGGGTTATTTTGTGTGTTCACGTAACTTGGGTGCAAATACCTCTATTACTCCAGAAAGGAAGGGAGGGAGGGAGGGAGGGAGGGAGGGAGGGAGGGAGGGAGGGAGAGAGAGAGAGAGAGAGAGAGAGAGAGAGAGAGAGAGAGAGAGAGAGAGAGAGAGAGAGCCACTCCTGCTGCCATGCAGACAGGTTTCCTTTCCAAAGGCACTGAGCGCTTTGCACTCATCACGACCAGCCTTGGCGTCCATCTAACTCGTGCTATTAATAGCCAGGCCACAACACCAGTCCTCAGCTTATTAATAATACATGGCAGCGATTCCTGACTGCGTTAAGATACACACGTCGCTCATCTGCATGATTAGCTCTTAGCTTCCTGATTAGAAAGCTTCATCCTGTCACAAGCCTGCCCTTTCTGTGAATGGCTCTCTTAAAGGGAACCAGGGTCTCTAAGGTACATCTCAAACTCAATTGAAAAAGACAATCAACAGATAATCAACAAAGGTCCCTTATTTTCTTTGTGAAATGAGAGAAAAAAAGATTGAGAATGTTTGAGGGGTTTTGTTTTGTTTGTTTTCTTGTTTTTTCTGTTAAGTTCTATCTGGGGACACTTGGATACTTGGAAGACAGAAAGTTGGAGACAGACACAAGGGCTTGTAGGTAACAATATTTAATGAATTTGAATTCTGTACTCTAGGAAACCACTAAGTGATTGTAAGCAGGAGCTGGGCATGAGATGTTTGACTTAGAAATATGACCCTGGGAAGGAGAACTCATAATGAAAGTGGGTATCGGGAAGACTAGAGAGGTTAAGACTGAGACCATGGCATGGAAGACAAGTGCACACATTTAGGAGATAGCCTAAAACATGACCTTCACCATCTTTGTTTGGTCTCTACTTGGATTTCACCCTCTAAATGAGTTCTTATTTGGCCACCTATTGGAAACACAGGTCCTCCCCGTATCTTAGCCTTCTGACATTGTCCTCACAGCTTTATTGCCATCTGACGTGCTCTGTAACTGAACTGTGAGGCGGGGCGTTCTTTCTTCTCTATCCTCAGATCTTATACCAACCGCTGGCACACAGTGGTGGCCGATAGCTATGTTGAGAATGACGTGTGGTGGAGGGGAATCTAATAGGCAGGATGCAGGTTGGTAGGAGAAGATGAGTGGAAGGATGCAGTAAAGGGGCAAAGAGAAATGTCCAGATGTGTCAGTTTGCTTCCCTGATGCTGTGATACAATGACAAGATACCATGACCAGAAGGGACTTACAGGGAGGGGCTTACTGTGCCAGAGGAGAAGTCCATAATGTCAGGGAGAGCACGGCAGCAGGTGCCCGAAGCAAGAGAGAGCCCATCTCCCACCACACACAGAAAGCAGAGAGAGCCAACTGTAAGTGGGGTGAGTCTGTAAGCTCTCAAAGCCCACATCAAAGTGATGCGTTTCCTCCCAACAAGGCTCCATGTCCTATGAGTTCCATAAACTCCACCAAACAGCACCACCACCTGGAGTCCCCGTGTTCAAATACATGAGCCCCTGGAGGACATTTCTCATTCAGATCACCATGTCACATTTCTAGGCAGAGTGTCACACAGAAGGGAGATGCGCAGTGCAGTGTGGGAGGTGAGAGAGTGGGCGGAGGACAAGTCGGAGGCACCAGGAGAACAGCTGGTAGAAGATGCAGGGAGACTGGGGGAGGCTTGGGGATGCAGAGATTTTGACGGGCTCCACGGACTTTACTCTTTCAAATAATATTTATGGTGTTGTTAATTTTGTTCAGACACTGCCAGGCAGAATTGACATAAAGATGAGCAATCCGAGGGAGTCATGCAGGGGGATAATATCCATAAAATCGCAATTACTGCCGCACTTGAGGACGATAGCCTGCATCACTGAGCGAGCAGGAAGCAAGCATCCCTGTAGACTACGCGGGCAGCTTGGAACTGCTAGCACCTTTCTGGAATGTGACTTGGTAGTGTGCATGTATGAAGCGTAGACTACTACCCATCATGACCCAGAAATCCCCCTTCTAGATACTGACTTGACGGTCATACCTACAAGATTTGCTGTCCACAGAGAAAACAAGGGAGTTTCCCACTTGAGTGTGATGAGCTTGCACACCCAGCTGGTTTCTAGAAGGATCTTTTTATGATGCAGGGACAAGTGTCGGCCTCTGAGCCCTTGCCCATGAATAGGCCACACTCTCACAGAAGGGCGCTGGTCCCTGCTGAGGTTCTTCACACACACACACACACACACACACACACACACACACACACCTCGCCACCTTGCCGTGTTAGAGAGAGAGAGAGAGAGAGAGAGAGAGAGAGAGAGAGAGAGAGAACAAAAAGTGTGTATTTTTACTTGTTTTGCTGAGAAAATAAGTTGCTTTATACTCACTGGAGAGGCAACGTGTGTTGAAAGCTCCTCAAAATGTTCATTCCATAGAATTGTCCCTGTCATGCCTCCCTGGAAAAGTCCATCTCATAAGATGTTATTTGGCCTCATTCAACTTTTGGGGTCAGAAACAATAGAAATGTTTTCACGTTGTAGCTGTCTGATACAGCAATAGCTGCTGGGAACAAGACCATTTAAAAAGAAGTTCTCGGGGAGATGTTCTCGTGGCGTTCTGAGAAGCTTCAGCACGTGGCAGGTGATCTAGGAGTCCATGCCCATATGCAGACTTGGGTGTGCTCTGAGAGATTCCACGGTAAATGCCTCACCTCTGGCGCACAGGGAACTCACACAAAAAGTTATGAAGTTCTGGGGCCTTCAAAGTATAAGCCAATATGCAAGCCTTTGGAAAAGACACAAGACTTGATGATTCAGCAATCTGAGGAAGTCACCCTTCTCTTGGTTCAGTCAGGATCAGGGTAGCTAACTTACAGAATTCATATGGAAAGGTTACTTGGCAACAGCAATAACGTCAAAAGTCAGCGGCATACCCAATTTTTCAATGGCTGGGCATGGATTTCTTTTTAGGACAGTGAAACATTCTGGAGGTAGACCGTGGTAATATTGTACAATCCGTGTACACTAAAATCTATCAAATGACATGTGCTCTTAAAATTTGGAGAGTGGGCTGGAGGGATGGCTCAGTGGGTAAGGTCACTTGCTGTACAAGCCTGAGGACCTGAGTTCAGTCCTAGGACTCCACGGGGGAAGGAGAGAATGGACTCCCAAAAGATATGTGTGTAATCCCTCAGTTATACATATATTGTATACTTACACACAATAATAGTAAGAAGATGAAAAATTTCAATGTAATCAACTGTTGGGGAAGTCCTGTGCATTTGTCAATAAAGTACTGTCTGGCCAATAGGGAATCTACATAGGAGGGACTAGGAGTCCAGGAGGACTCTGGGTAGGAGAAACATGAGGAATTCAAGATGTAACCGCCATGGGGTAGGAAGCCCGGAACGTCTCCAGTAAGAGAAATACTTAGATTAACAATTATGGGGTAATTACTTAAGTCAGAGCTAGCCAGTAAGAAACAAGCAAGGCCAACAGCTTCATAATTAATATAGCCTCCTGTGTGTTATTTGGGGACTACAACTCGGCAGAGCCCAGGCGACTGGCGGGTGATAAACCAAAGCGGCTAGCAAGGAAAAGCTTCTCTTAACAATCAACTAATGTAAATATGTTCAAGGAATAAAGGAAACGTCTACGGAATTAAAAGAAAGCACAAATGAGTGCTCCTCCCACAATGAGGGATGCTCTCTCAGCCAGGACTCTTGGGGGGAGGGCCTAGGCCCTGTCCTGGATAAAACCACAGACTCTGGAGATCCTCCATGGAGGGCCTCACCCTCCCTGGGGATTGGAGTGGAGATTGGGTGGGGGACTGGGCGGCCTGGTGGGGAGGGATGGGGAGGAGGGAAGGGAGAGGGATTGACCTGTGAAGCAAGCTTGTTTCTAATTTAAATTTAAAAAGGAAGGAAAAAAAAAGAAAGCCCAAGATTGACATCTCATCAAATAGAGAATATCAATACCAAGGTAGAACTTGTTTAAAAGACAGAATTTAAAATGGAGTTTAAATTCCTTCCCCTTTCATTGCTTACAGCTCCATTCTCCTGGAATGTGACAGAGATGACAGAGCAGGACCAGAGTTGGCCTGCTTGCCACCTCCTAGTTCACCCTCCTTGGAGAGACACTGGGCACCACGCATGAGACCCTTAAGTAACCCTTATGGAGAAGGCCGTATGAAAAGGTTCTGGCCTCTTGCCAAGAACCAACAAATAACGGAATGAAGTCTCCTGCCCACGGCCAGTTGAGTGGGTCACCTTGTAAGCAGGTCCTCCAGCCCAAGCCAACAGGGGAACTGCTCAGTTAGAGACACCCCCTCTGTCTAAAATCGACTCCTGACCCTCAGAAGCTGTGTTTCTCACGGAAGTCTTGTTTGTTGGTCCTGAAGTAGCTAGAGCTTAGACTGATTTGTTATGCAGAAATCATAACTAATACAAGCTAAGAGGGGAAAAAATCCTCCAGACAATCACAGGACAGAATTAAACAGGAAAACATTACCACACTGCTAATTGTGTTTTAATGCAAGGAAGAATTTCACACCCTCTGAGCGGCTCACAATGGAATACTTACCATTTTACAGCACTTTGATACCTGTCACCTGGAGATTTCAACAGAAGACAGATGACAACTGACTGGAGATGATGAATGTGGTCTTCTTCTCTGGTACCTGGAGGAACTTTTCTAGAGGTGCCCTCTGAGTTCAAAGTTACTCACAGTTTGATATCACCTCCACCATCTGTTTTCCAGAAGGACTGCAACGTAGTCTGGAATAACGTTGTCACAGTAACACCAGTCTCAAAATTAATAAATTAAAATAAATGTAAGTGGCAATCAAAGACAACAGAAAGGTAGGAGAGTTGCAGCAAATGGGAAGTTAGTATCATGAAATCCAAGGGGAAAAGACACTGCAGCCCCTTGCCACCAGGAGTGAGAGTCTATGGATCACAGCAGGACCTGGGGTGGCATTCTTTATAAGCCACCTAGCTAACTTCCGTTATCAACCTGCTGACCTAGACTATATTCCCCACCCCGCAACTGGGTCATCTTGGTGTTTTCGTTAGAAGCTAAACACGGTATAAAATCAGCTGAAGATTCCTTAACATGGGTATACGAAATGGCCATGGGCCGGTGATCCTAAGGTGGATGTGAGGAAACCAGGGACCTCCTTCTTGGACAACTGCAAGGCGCGCTATTGTTCAGCAGTGCCCTAAAGTTAAGCTGTGAGTTAAGCAGTCTCCTGGGCTCATTCCTCTGGAAGATAAAATAGTTGCTTTTGACTCATAGACTCTCCCAACTGAGACTAACATCTGAGTGGCCCAAAACAAGAGTCAACTAAATCGCAAGGCTTCTTACCCATCAACTGGGGATCCTGCTCCACACCTATATGGGACAGTAACACCCTAGCTGCCAGACCAGCATTTTTGATCCATAAGCGCCCCACCCCCACACACCCTGCCTCAGTCTCCCTCGGGAGATCCACTTAGATGTCATGGGCATTTGCAGAGTTATTTGAGGTGTAGATTTGTGGCGATACCAATTGACCATCTCAGTCAATAAAAATAAAGATCTGAGCTGGCATGGCACCACTGAGAAAACTCATCAGTTGAGTTTTCTCCAACATCTCAGTGACTGCTGGATTCCCCAATTCCAGTGCCTTGAGAACTGGAATCAAATGTGTGGGACCCGCCACCACAGAGGAAGGAGGGTTCACACACATTCATCAACCCGCGACTGAGGCAAACATGGAAGAACAGCACCTGATGTTCTCTGCAGCTCAGGTCCCTGCTTAATTCTGAGCAGATTCCGCAGGCTGGGTGTCAGGCAGCTGAAGGATGAGCAGTCTGCACTAGAATTAGACCTGCTGTGATGTTAATGAAGAACCGCCAGTGGGCTCGCTGGAAGGCAATTTAGATCTACATAATTATGACTTAATCCCTCACCCTGTGACATCAAAAAGGTCCCTACCAAGTGCACACTGCCTGGTTTTGTGCCACAAAGAGTACAGCTGTGCACTCCTGTTCCCTTTAGTGTGTCGCGCTCACGTTGGCCATGATAGCTTTATTAAATGGTGTGACCCGACCTAGTTCTTACAACACGGAGCACTATCTCCTAATCACAGCCACAGAGTAGCTGAGAGCAGGCTATGAAAGAAACCAGGAGCTGCATCTCAAACATCAGATTAACTGCTGTAGATGGAGAAGGTGTTGACAGAGATGGGGTTGGCTTGAACAAGCCCAGCCCTTTGCGGGGAGCAATGGGAGGTGCTGCCTTTGGCAATCAGACATCAAGGAGTCCGAAAGGATGTCTATAGAATGTAGTGCCAGCTCTTGGGACAAGTGTCATGGCGGAGAATGGCCATGCACACGCAGCAGTTTCTAGGGCCAACGAGAATTCCTGTTCAAGCAATGATGCTTCTTGTCCTCTGTCCTTCAAGAGAGACCAGACACTGACTGTGAATATTAGAGACCTCCTGGGCAAGGTCAGCATTCCCTTCGGAGAACAGTTTAAACATCACAAATGTCTGAACCAGGTGGCATGCCAAGATTGTTCCTAGAGATTTTAGGATTAGAGCCCAGACTCTCGCACTACTAAAATAATGCCAACTTAGCTACTCATCTCGACGTAACAGTTGAAGAGATGAATGAAGGCAAAAACCAGTATGCACACCCTGGGAAAAGAACCAAATGAAGCAACCTAATGACCCCAATGTCTTCTGGGTACTGAGATGAGCTTTCGGCTGACACACAGGTATGAGCTACACATAATGCATAACCAAGTAGTCGTGGTCAAGGCATGTCCTGCCCATCACTGACCCAACATTGTCCCAACCCCACCCTCACCTGCAAGGCGGTGCAGGACGTTGCCAATCCAGCTGTCTCTCAGTGCATCTTTGTGCTCCAGTTGCTGAGGATGCAGCCTTACTCTCTCGGATAATTCTCCTCAGCTGGAGGGGGCGGCAGTCTGTTCTGGGAGGCTTTCCTGGGATTCAAGGTGACTTAAGAGGAAAGATTAAGGACTACACTTTATCTGTGTACCTTTAGTCAAAGCACAGACATAAAATACAGGCAGAGATGTCACGCTGGGCTTTGATCCTGTCTCCGTTCCCTTGCACATGGTTTTTCAGCAAAAGCAGCCGCTTCTAAGCGCTGATTTCAATGTTTTCTGTTAGGAAACATGGAGGCGTTATGAAGTCACAGGTGTGTGGGGAGTGACAGAGATCAGGTTCAAGCTGGGGGTGGAGAGGTTTGGAGAGGGCCAGGGATGCTTTCACAAGTGCGCAGCATTTGGGCTTGGCCAAGAGCGTGGTGCTGTGGGTTCGGCTGCACCTGCTAACATTTGTATACCGAAATGATAACCCCTTGGTACTCAGAACATCATTTAGGAAGGTCAGCTTGACGGGACTGACAATCACCATGGAAACAAACCTAAGGGCAGCCCCTGGGGGATTTTTCTAGATTGGGTTCATTGAGATGGCAAGACCCACCCTAACTGTAAGCTGCAGTCTTCCAGGGGCTGGACTGAGACTGAATAAAACGGAGACAGAGCATTGCCACCTTCTGTTCTCCTGACTGCTCCCTGCTCCCGCTGCCACACCTCCCCAGCCACGAATGGATCTTAACCTCACACTGAGCCAAACCAGCCCTTCCTTCTTTACGTTGCCTTTGTCTGGTATTTTGACATAGCAACAAGAAAGTAGCAAATGTCTCAGGTCTACAGTGGACAGCATAGCAGCGTGGATGAGAGCGGGCGTCCCCCAACTGTGGCATCTTGGTATCTGAGGAAAAGCAGACGCAGGAGAGCCACTCTTAACTTGCCTCTCACCCTCTGTTCTGAGGCAGGCCATGAAACACAAGGAGGCCACTCTCTGCCTTCCCTTTGAAGACCTTAATGAGACAGGTGTCCCACCTAACGCTGGGGAAAAGAACCTCAAACATATCTGGATGTCTAGAAGGCTCTGCTCAGTTTTCCCTACACCTAAGTTTATTACCCTCGGATCTTATTCTTGGCTCCAAGTCATAGCTCTGTACAACAGTCCACAGACACTGACATACATACATTTCCCCATTCATTTGTGGAGGTATTCCCGTCACGTAAATATAAGTGATGCGAGCTTCACTGTGGTGATACATTGCTTATGATCTAATAGAGTTACCGGAGACCAGTTGGCAAAGCCAGCCACACTACTTAGCTATAGACACTATGCAGTGGTGGCACGCACCTTTAATCCCAGGACTCAGGATTAAGAGGTAGACCGATCTCCCTGTTAGTTCAAGGCCACCC